AAAAAATCTGCCTATGTGGCTGCTAAGAGTCGACACTGACTTGATGGAACATAATCAATCTATCTATACATAGCCATCTAGTAGAAGTCACAGTGATGTAACAAAGCACAAATGGTACAAATTATTTCATCTCTGTCAGTTATGTCATGATGCAAATGCTGAACAGTATGTAATTTACCGCATTTATGCAATGATGTCATGACATGCATGATGCAACTTTCCCCTCCCAGATGCCTACACAGAGAGAGAGAGAGAGAGAGAGAGAGAGAGAGAGAGAGAGAGAGAGACATACGCACACCAATTGCAGTCAGTGGGAGTTGAGTACCTGCTTGAGCTGTGTGCCATTCCTCTCTCTTTAGGCTAAGGATTACTGATTGATTGATTATTGCCACTCAAGTCATCCTCCTTAGAGGCAAAACCCTGTCATGTCATTCTAGGAAACCATTAAACCTAAGAAATCCTGCTATTGAAGCTCAGTGAAGTAGGCTGGGCAATGTCGTTACAATCAGGAAAAAAAATGTACAAGCTTCAATACAGGATACTTTTCTAAGTCAAAACAAGAGGGGGAAGGGAACCAGAGAGTTTGCCTTTCCTTGCAGGCAACGGGTTTCTTCCCCCCAGGTTGCACACTGGCGTTGGGGAAATTTGATGACCATTAGATGGGAATATCCCAATGGGGTCACCTCCCAAACAGAAAGACTTCCCCCTTCTGTCTTCATTGTGCCCCCTTAAAACAGATTACCTTGGTCTCCAAACTGGAACAAGGTGCAGTCAGAAGCCACCCTATGAGAGGGAAACACATTCTTAAGGAGTCCTCCTCTCAATCTGAGGCTCCAGATTAAATGATCTTCCCCCTCCCACTAAGTTCCTTGAGCCACAGTCCTACGGGACTCTGCTTGCGGTCCACAACTGATACCTGTAATAAGAGGTGGGGCGAGGTGGGGCATCGGGGGTATCCTGGTCCAGCTCTCGGTACACAGCCTCGGGAAGCTTAGGTGTGTTGCCTGCTGAGGCACTGTGGTGGTGATGGTGGTTGGAGTCCTTGCGTTTCTCCTTGTTCTTGTGCTTGCCAGCTTTGGGAGCCACTGATGGAGTTTCGGTGTTCTCCTTGTTGCTGTTATTCTCTGGGGCCTCTTCCGGAGCCTCATCATCCTCTGACACTACATCCAAGTTATCAAAAATGCTTATGCGGTGCACACGGCCATGCAGGTCCACCTCTACCATGCGCTGGGCTTGTGCATAAGTCATAACGTCCCGCCCTGGTGATTGCGAAGTCTCGGAGGGGCTGGGTGACTGCTTGTTGGTTGCACGACCATGCCGGCCCTTCTTTTTGTGCTTGCGCAAAGTGGTGCTCTGTGGTGGAGGTGGGTTGTCATGGTCGTAGTGGTACAGATGGTACTCAATCCCACTATAGCTCTTGTAGATTTTGCGGCAGGTGTCCACGGGACATTCATATGGTGGCTTGGTTGCCCGCAGATTGTGGCAGAAAGTCTTCACGTCAAAGTCCACCCCCATGGTGTCTCTTGGCTCTGTAGGAAAGGGGAATGAAGAAGAGTAGGAATGGTAGGTTTGCCACACCAGCCATCAACCAACACCCAGGTCCAAAGTGCACAGGGTTTAGCAACATTCTGGGCTTCCTATAACAGAATCTATTTAACCCTAACTGATTAAGCACAGCTGAAACCAGAAAGGCAAATGGAGATCCTGATGATCCAGAAGATCAACTGGGCAAAACAATTGGATCAAGACAAGCATTACAGCCAGACTGCTTCTGTACTATGTCCTGTGTGACGTTGTGGGTCTTTTCAAACAGATACTATTTTTCATCCTATCTCTTCTGATTTATTGCTAAATCATGCAGGGTTGATAGTAGCACTGTAAGAGACAGGTATAATTACAATCAATCCTTGTCACCTGAAGTATATTCTCCAACAGAATACATTGTCCTGGGTATGCAGGGACCAGAACAGTCTTTGAATTTCTACCTGCCAAGCTGCTTCCTTTTTCTTTTAAAAAACTACATTTTCAACAAAGCTTTCCTTGTATCTCCTTGACTCATCTGAATACCTGCAGACTCTACTGTATACCAGCCTCATAGTGTCAACTTAGGCAGCACAGTAAAGATATCTTAATAATTGTGGTCAACATACAACTATGAACATAAGACATGTAACAGAATGCAGCAATCGCTCATGTCCAAACAGAAATATCCTGATACAGCCTATCACATTTCCAAGGTAAAAGTCTATGTATCTTTCCCTCATTCTTGTTTTGAGTAGTTATCACACTTATCAATGCAGCTGTGAGATTTTTTGGTATAATTTAAAATATTGATTAATTCCTATGTTCTCTTTCTTCTTCAGATAGCAATGTTAATTTCTAAGCCTGGAATGTTGCTGCCATCAAATCACTGTTTATACTGGATGTAAATTCTAGGAGCTGTAGAATTCAGCACATCTTGAAAACACCAGCTTGTGGAAATCTGTGCTAAACATTTAGTACCAGTGGCAGCCCTTAACTGAACTTGGCTGATCTCAGAAACCTAAGCAGGTTTGGACCTGGTTAGTGTTTCTATGGGAGACCACAACTGTTGACTAGGTTGGGAAGTCAAGAAACATCTTAGAAGAAGGTAATGGCAAATCAGTTCTGCACTGTTGCCAAAAAACCCTACATGGATATGTCTATGAGGTCACCAGGAGTTAAGCTTTACTCAAAGGAGATTTTATTTTTAACCATCAAACAAAGGTGTGGAAAGGATACAAGTTTGAAAATAATCCCATTCTCAGTTGCATAAGGAAGAAACTAGCCATAGTTATCCAAATGCTATTTGTACTGTGTTAAACCACATTATGGAAAATTATTCCAAGAAAGGTTTCCCCAGTGCTGACACTGTTCTCTTTCAAGTACTAGAGGAAGCATTACATTTGGCTTTCTTTTCAAAAGTAAATTCTTCTGTTTGTTTTTATGCTGGAGCTTTATTGGCTTTATTGAGACTGCTGAAGCTAATGTTTTTATATTATTAATGATGCACTCTGTTTTTTAATTTTAAGATTAAGTCTTTGGTAGACTCTGATCAGGAAAGCACATTATCATGTTCACAAGAAGTAAATAGGAAGGAAATGCCACCCCATTAGCTAGAGGAGAAATCACACTAACCACATCATGCTGATTCCCTTGCTACTGTCATTTTCCCTGATCATGCAAGAAAGGGAACTGACTGAAGACAATCTGGCAGCATGCTAAGGAAGATTCCCCTTTACTGACACTTCTTGCAAGCTAATCCCATGCCTTCCCTCTTGCCTCCAACAACATTGCACTCACTATAGGAGAAATGACTCACAAATTAAATGGTTAATCATAGCTATGCACAAGGTAGAAAGAAAGGGGGAAGCAAAAAAGGGGGGAAGGGAAGTGGAAGAATGCCACAGTTGCTACTACTTCTGACCTTCACACTCTGTTTTTGCAATCTCACTAGCGGCAGGAAAAATGACAGTTAAGGTAGAGGATGTCAGACAACCCTCACGGCACTGACAGAGATTGCAGGAGGCTATCCAGGCAGCTGGGATTAATAGGAGAAAACATTAAAGAGAATGCAAAAGAATAACAATCATCCACTGCCTATGCCAGTTCACACACAGCCTTCCCCATGCCTCAGGCACCTCTCTTTTGGCAACTGAGTTGAGGATGAAGAAACCTTCCACTGCCGTTCCCAACCCATACCGTACCTGCAGCTTTAAGGGGAATGACAACTAACAGAAGAGTTAGCTGTCAAAACTCAGACCTCCTGCTTTATTCTTTTCCTACAAGAGAGCTCATGCAGGAAAACGAAAGTACAAGAGAGCAGACGGGAACAAGAGTTCCTCTGGGCACCACCATCCCTTATTCAAGCAGGTTGGCTGCACACGTTTCACCTGTGGCTAAAGAGCCGTGGTTGGTGGCCTACTACAGCCTTTCCCAACCGGATGCCTTCAGATGTGCTGCCATGCGGCTTCCCTGTCTCCCCCCAGAATGGGCAAGAAAGGAAAGTTGGTGTCCGACCCATCCAGAAGGCACCCTTCCAAGGCAGGCTGGCACCGCGCACGCCTGACCTCCCAAGTGGGTGGGAGACCCACTCTGTGGACGGGCAAGGGGGCCGCGGACGGGTGCCACGCCGCGGGCGACCTCCCTGCCTCCTGCCAACCCCGCTCGCCCCATACTGTGAAGCGGCGAGGGTCCGGGGAGGGGGCTGTCACACGAACCCTGCCTGGACAGCGCCGCGGCACGTG